ATTTAAAAAAAAATTGATCTCTCGCGTTTTCCGCTAACGACTCGGAGCGCGCAACAGAGCGATCGTTTCCGGCGGCGAAGTGGAGGTGAAGTTGTAGACTTGCAGAGAGGAAATGTCCGTCTGTGAATAATACGGAGAGATTTTTCTTGCAGGCTTTAGCACGACGGCGTGTCTAGCCGAGCAGTGTTCCTTCATCAAACGAAGGTGCCTGCGAGTCTAGCCAAGTAGTCCCGTTCTACATGCTGGCCAAGTGGCGTACATAATACGCTCTCCTCTTGTCGACAATAAACCTTCCTAAGTTCGCTAAACTGCACCACGTTGGCTTTCTTGAACAGAAAGAGCTTTGCAAGGGCTCGCAGCACCACTTTTCAAACTAATTAAGCGCGAAAGCCATAGACGTCACTCAAGTTTTGAAATGGTCTTAAACTAAAGATGCCGTGAACCGATCAAAGACATTTAGCATTGTATTAGCATCTTAAGGTATTGCTTAAAACAATAAAAGCTTGATTAATTAAGAACGGATTATGAATATCGACCTATGTTTCTTTTAGAGTGACATGACTATGGATCGCGTGAATAGAAACAGATGCAGGATACAGAATGCATTCCAACTTGAAATTTAATTATTCAGCGCTTTATATGATTGCGTTAGGCTCCTCCACAGTTAATTGCAATCGCGATGGTAATTTCAATCTCGTGCAATATTTCTCGATCCTTATACTACACGCGTTCCGGTTTATCTCGCGCTCGTGAGACCATTATTACTTAACATCTTATAGAGAATGTAAGATGTTTCGTGTTACCTGTATAATATCTTCTTCCCATTAGATATAATTGTTACCAAGGTTGCCTAACGAGGCGCCGCTAATCAAGCACGGTAATTTAATGGACTGAAATCTTGACTCTGGTTCTCGATGAGCCAGTAGAATAAGCTGCGGAAAACACATATTTCTATCGAAACTTGAGTTTCGCGTATTATATTTCACAATACGTCAAAGAGAGGCTAACGAGATCCTAAAGTAATTATAAGACGAGGTGACTAAGATAAAAGTACAAGAAAATTTAGAAGTTATAATGGAAAAAGCATATTATGAGGAATGAGGAATTTTTTTACGTAAATTCATATATCTTTCTTTTTATCAACTTTTTGTATCTTGATATATGCATATCTATAAGTAATATTGCATAGTTGTATTTCGCACTTTATCATTTAATAAAAAAACGTTTAAGAGAGAGTGGAGAATGTGATTTGGATTGTAAACATTAATGGAGGAAAGTGTTGAATATTGTTTCAATCGGGTTGCGAATTTATGAAGCGCGAAAAATTTGCATTAACAAGCGAATGGAAATGTGTTTTCGAAATTAATCAAAAACGCAATCGTTGCTTCGATAAAATGCATAATGCGTAATAACATTTTGTATGTATTGCAGAGCATAACGAAATCAATCGAGAACATCGAGAGATCCTATAATTATATATCGTACGATTAATCATTGCGTGATTATCGCGATGCTAATCCTCTACCAATCATATACATATTTGTCGTAAAAAGTCGTAAATACGAGGTGGAACGCATGTTGTTCGTACGGACCGACATTTATCTCGATTCGTGACATTTACAACAAAATCGGATGAGTTGTCACGCGAGTTCGCACCGAGTGGGATTAGAATTTTCGCACGCCAGGGAGAATATAGTTATTGCGCCACGTACAGAGGAAAAAAAAGAGGTCGCGCATTTGCGTAGACAAAAGGCTGGTTACGTCCGCGGAAATTCCATGCATAAAGACAACGAACGGGTGAAAAAGAGAAAGAGATAAAGAGAGGAGAGACAAGTGTCTTTATATCCCCCGCGAGAAAGGTCGATTCTGACTCGCTTGCGGAAGGTTATAGACCTTGCTGCTTCATTATTAACGCGATGTATATCGATTTTGTCTGCCTGCCTCCGTAAACTCGATTCTATTCTCGCAGATATACGCATGGACGATTCCACCGCCGAGAGTCTCCCTCGAGGAGAACTTTCGCCGTTCCGAGGCGATTTGAGAAATTAATCATCATGTCGCGCTTAAGGAGCAACATCGACGGCGTGGAGCTTTCGTTTCCGCAAATAGGATTTCCTCTGCGTGACTGCGGTGAATGAAATTTTTATCAAAGCCGAAATGGATGGCGAACAAAACAGCGCGAGAGACATGCTTCGTCGAGTGGAAACTGTTAAATTGCGTACTAATTTTTATCGCGAGCGGGTGCGAAATATATCGACCTCTTGTATTCTGGAGTATTGTAGGAGCTATTGTAAGAGAAACTTATTGTTCGCGTTAACGTATATTAATCTGTATGCACCGTAGGCTTTCGCTAAAAATACGTCCCTAGGGCGAGCGTCGAAGTGGTTCGCGATGCGTTAATATATTCCGCCTCTGCCGTGTCATTGAATTAAATTTTTGCAAAATAAACTGTCGAGTTAATAGACGTCGATCGGAAAGAGCAGATAAGATTCTCCTGTCTTTGTAAAAGCCATTTATTTTTAAAACGGCACAAGTCTAACGCGGCATTTCCATTTTATCATGATTTTAAAAATTGAGTTATAATTATTTCAGAATAGATAACTCGTTACCCATAATAAACAGAATCAAGGTCGTTCTACCATGTCATTTGTATAACTGATGATTAATCCTCCTTGAGAATTTGATGTATGAACGAGTTAAAAAAATTAATCTGGCAAGTTCTGTGTGTGGCAATTTTCAACAAGATACCCATTAAACATAAATATAACTGCCACATAACACATAAATATACATATTTAACCCATATGCTCTAAAAAATATCAAGATGGACTTAACACCATACGATGTCTATATAATTCTTACTTATTAACACCAACATGATGTGGACTTAACACCATAAATTTGAAATTCACATCATGATGGTGTTAATATTAACACCGACACGGTGAGAATTATATATCTGGGTAGCAAGCTGACATGTTTTGACATCAACTTGCTACCTGAGTAGATACCGCATGGTGTGACATCTGCACACCGATACTTTTTAAAGTGTATTATATGATAATTATGATATTTGCGGTGCTTGTTGGATAAAAAATGTGTGAAAATAGCTGTCTAAATTAAATGTCATTATTGATTACATTTTGAAATACAAATTTTTTTCTTATTTACTCCCTTTTTACTCGTTTTGATTCTTTCAATCTTAAATTATTAAAATAAAGACTTTTCGAGCTTACCTGACAAAGTATCCATCCCAAAATCCGTTTCGGGGATAAATTCAACTGACTTTCATGTTTGTATCTTTGTCGGTAAGATATTGAGGAGCCAGAAGACAACGATGCAGATCTTTCTGTCAACTTAATAATGTAGATCCCACACAGTGGAATATTGTCTAGCGCTAAAACTACAATTCGGAATTGATTAAATCGCGTCGCAAGGTATTTCGATGTTCGCATGGATTGACGAGATAACTAGTCGGGATTATTCGGCTTTCAGTGAGAGAACTGGAGAGAACTCTCGAATCTGCGCGCGCGAATGAACGACGATGAGCGAGGGTCGTCGCCGTTTGGCCGGGAAGACCGACCACCCCGATGTATATCCTTCTCTTTGATGCCACGTGCTAAAGTCGACGGGTAAAGGGAGCGAGGGAGCGAGGAAATGGTTAAGAGCAACCACGTCGGCGCGTCGTGACGCTTCATCGACGCGCGCAATCGGTGCTTCCGGGGTGCAAGAATTGTGGTTTCGCTCTCAGATCGACAGCTCTCTCGCGAATCATTTACCCGTCATTTTGAAATGAAAATAATTGACGTAATCCAGCGAATTCGAACTGTAAAATAAATTCTCTTCTCTTTTCAGAATGCTATATCCGTTGTATTCTCTGCACTCCCTTCTGACGTTGATGATTGCCATTCCAAAATAATAAATAGCTTGTGTTATCGAATTAATATTCTACATTGATTTTGCAAATAGTTTACTAATGACATTGTAAGTTCTTTTCGATTGATCGTTGCATTATTTGCTTATCAAGGATTTTTCGCATGAATGCTCCTCAGTAATCCGCGTGTAATTCGTACAAACAGATACAAACAGATAATTATTCGCAGACGGGTTGTACTTGCAAATGGAGTGTAAAGATTTAATGGATCGGTTATTGGATTTTGCATGAACATGCATCCGGGAACATGACAGCGTGTAATCTGTTCCGACAGGTATAAGTACGTGAATTGAGTCGAGTGCACAATCGACGCGCTGCAGAATCTAACAATATTAAAGACATTGAGAGAGAGAGAGAGAGAGAGAGATCGTAACGTTCCTTCCAGTTCTTTCAAATTCTACCAATTTTCTACAAGTTCATTTCAGAAAATACCGATTTACTCTTTTTGTCCGCCCGAAGTCGACGGTGGGATTCCAAAATTTGCTTTATTCTTGTAGAAGTATACGATCGAAACAAAGCATATAGTGTAATTTAAAATAAAAGAAAATTTTCTAAACTATATATGTGCGTCATCACGTAAAAAAATCTATGGTCAAATTTTTATTCAAGTAGAACGTAAAAAGATCTTACTGTTTTAAAATAGCTCGATTGTTATGCGAATGTTTATTAAAGCCGCTGCGTAACATTCTCTCAACGATGAATATTCTTAAAGTGAAAATTGCGAGAGAGACCAGGATGAAACGATACCTTTTCGCGCTATATATTCGTTAAATTTAGACAATTTATAAAAGTTCCGGAGAATACGTGATATGACGAAACAAATTTGAATAGTTTCATAAACAGATACAGACTCTTGTCTCGCGAATCGATAATCATCAATGATAATACAAATGTGAATGGCACATTTCTCTTCTTTCTTACACATACATTCTTTTTTTAATAAATTAAAGACTTGTTTAAAAAAAATCTTTCGTGTGCTATATTTTTAGCAAACATTTTGTTAATTAATAGTCGATCTTACGAAAAATCTGATTTTTTTTAACCAAACAAATTTTGTTTATTTCAGAATAGAGATAACACAGAAGACTAGCAGAGTGGATTTTAGAAGCACCGAATAAGAAAAATTCAATAATGTCTTCATTAAATTTGCGCTACACGAGAGACATTCTCAATCGTCTTACGATGAAACAAAGGCTGTTTTACGAGAAGAATGGTTATCTAGTATTTCCCCGCTTCATACCGCAAAACGTGCTCGATAAATGTCATAAAAGGTATATTTAACTTGTAAAAAAATAAGCGTATCGAATATCCAATGCCATTTCTGTTTGAGTGTTTCAAGCGAATTTCTGAAAATCTAAAAGTTTTGTACGATTACTTTATATGAAGGAAACATTCCACGTATGTCAAATATATATACATGTAAAAGTTGCTCGCTCTCCTGTTTTAATCACTGTGAAACGTATAAAATGTGTTTATTCAACGCATACAGATATGCAGATGCGCGGGTATTAAAGTCTTTAAAGTAAAAATTATTGCGGAGACATTAATTGAAATAATCTTGTGGACGGTCCACACTATGAGTAGCTCGATAATCTAGCAATGTTATTGAAATGTTCAATGTTTCAGTAAATTTGCTGACTGATATTAACGTGTGCGCAAATACTACGACCAGCTATAATGTTACAGATGACCGATTATTCAATATGGATTATCTGAAATGTCGGCATACAATAAATTGCAGATACGAACTTTGTTTTTACGGGTATCGATCACGTGTGTTAATTTCAATAGCTAATTAATGGTATCGAAATTTTTGCATGTCGGAAAAGGATTAAAGGATCTGTATTAAAAGCTGTAATATATCCAACTGTAATATATGCAGCGCATCCAAGAGACATGTTAAAAATGTCCAGAGGACATTTACGTCGGATCCTCTGATAAAGTGTACTATTTGGGATGTATGAGTACTCACAAATAAAGTTTTCTTTTATTTCCCAGATATAATGAAATCGCCGAAGGCAAGCCACGGCAAGATATGATGATAGTAATGTACGATGTGAAGGACAAAAAAGCGCTAACTAAAATACAGGATATGCATACGGATTCGGTATTCCGTCAATATACCGAGCACGAGAAAATTCTTGATATAATCGAGTGTTTTACGGGACCAAACATCATGGCGATACATAGTATGCTCATCGTAAAGCCACCTGATAGCGGATTTGGAAGTTCAAGGTAATCATTAAAAATCTTAAAATACTGCCAGTATTATTTAATGCAACATGGCTAAAGAACAGGATGTATTCTTTTAGACATCCACCGCATCAAGATCTGTACTACTTCCCATTACGACCAGCCGATCGTATAGTAGCTGCATGGACAGCCATGGAACCCTGCAATAGTGAAAACGGATGTCTCTATGTAGCACCTGGATCACATACTTTAGGGAACTTGTATCCGCATGGTTATCCTCCAAAGTCGGAAGGAGTGATGAACAAGTTTTATCATGGCATACACGTAAGATATCTCCTCAATACATCTTTTTATCGAAATATTACTTTTGCATATTGTTGCTTAATTAACATTTTTATTATGTAGCAATTACCTTCGATGCTCAACAATTGGATAAATCTTGAGATGCAACCCGGCGACACAGTATTCTTTCATCCGTTACTCATTCACGGATCTGGCATTAATAAATCCAAGAGAACGAGAATGGCGATTTCCTGTCATTATGCAGCAGCAGATTGTACTATTGTCGATGTACGTAGAGAACAATTGCCAGTTTATTATCGCGAATGAATAACAAAAATACAAATCTGAAAAATGTAACGAATAAAATGTCTTTGCAATAGGATGATCCGGTTCAGGAAACCATCAGGAGCGAGATTTTAGAGCTGTTGAAGAAAAGGCATCCCGATATGGAGATACAATACGCAGACGTATGGCGCTATAAATCCTCGCTCGTGCGCGGTATTCGTTCCTCTTACTAAAAACGTTTAACTATAGGCCCGTTCTTTTTGACTGAACTCTCTTGCACCAATTCATCTTTCTTCTTTTTCTCTCCAGGAGAAAAGAAGAGGAAGAAAGATGAAATGGTACAAAAGTTCAGCCAAAAAGAACAGGCCTTATATAATATTAATCGAGAGGAATTTATTTTCTACAAGGCTATTATTCTACGATGAAATAATAATTAGATAACGTTAGCATAAAACCGTAGATAATATAGGATCGGATAAATAGGAGTAAGATTCGGAAGAGGGAAAAAGTAACATCACCACAGAAGAAGAAGTAATGACAACGGCGGGACTGTCGCCGTTATTATTTAATGAATTAATATTGCGCCGATATCGTTGTGGAATATAACAGTGCTTCGCGAGGGGATCCTTGTAAGTGTTGTCGCGTCGCACACTAGAACTTGAAGTGCGACAAGCGGCCAGACAAATCTGGAAGTGAACAGCCGTTCTCCCTACATTTTTTTGTACTTTCAAAGAGCCTGATGATAAGTCCTTCCGACCTCTTATTTGCTATAATAAATTTAAGTCATGATAAAATATATAAATAGCGATTTTCTCTTGTATATTTTATATGATTTGTAATATATATTTTATATGATTTGAGTGCTTTAATTTATATATTTAATACGCATTTATCATTTCTGAAATTAATTCATTTAAATGAATTTACAATAGTTCAACATCTTAACGTTCTGACCGTTATGGCGCTTCTTAATTTAAAATTATTATGTTTAACATTAGCGGTCTTTCAATCTTATTATTGTTTATATATTTAATATTCATATATTTAATATTATAAAGAAAAGTAGTATTATAGACTCAATAAAAACTCACCTTGTCTGGGTGTAAACAACAGGAAACGCAATACTCATAAATAGTACAGCACCCTTGAGGATTGCATGTTTTGCAACTATACTTTTCTCTCGTAGTCATAAACGATTCTTCATTTTTTTGAGACTGTTTCTGCTCTATCGCACAACATCCATTCGATTGCACTTCATGTCTCGAACATACTACACCATGATCATCAACTATCAAGCCTCTTCCCTGAGAAAATATGAGATGCTCATCAAAATAAACAGAATGAAGTACACTTCGAATGCCACTGTATAATTTTGACTGTATAACTTTACAAGATTTGTCCTTAAAGTCTTTTTTATAACATATTAATATGCTACTTAATTGTATTAATTCTTTATTTAAAAATTCATAAAATTATTTTCAAAAAACAGTGAATAGACGGTGTCTAACTGCAAATTAACTCATATTTGGGCAATCATTGTATTAATACAAATGCTCACTTGAATGGAATTACGACAAGACTGATTATAAGCGTCGCTTTCATTTAAATTAGATGCATCTATATTTCCTGCGTTATCACCAGCTACTTGATCCAGTATTTCTATCTGCCACAGTGGAGACTTATCGGATGCTCTTAGATCTTCTAGCAGGTTATCATCGGGTATCATGTCTTCATTAATCATCATAGGATCCATATCAAAATTGTTGTCTAGATTCGGTAGCCCTTTCTGTAAAGAAAATGACAAAACCTTCTGTAATAAAAGTTACAATAATATCCACGCAGATTCGCAGTCAGATTATTAACATAATTTTACTTTAATGATATAAATATACCTGCCTTTTCATTGCGGAGTAACGAAAAGGCACAATATGTCAATGACAGAGCGAAGATGAGTCCAAGAACGAGACGTCGTCTAAGTAATCTGATCAAACTCATGCAGCTTAGCATCCTTCCTCCGCTCCGCTTATACGCTTGCCCTCACCAAAACAGCTTCAAATTCTCTGGACATAATACTTGTAGGACGATCATTGTTCCGTGCGCGACCGTGAGAAGAATCCGTGGTAAGGGCATTCGACATCGAAGTGATTGCAAATTCGCAGAGATCAATTCGTGGAGGTTAGACTTGTTATTGTCATCAAAAGTTTGCGAAGCACTATAAATATTATTTTGCCGAGCGCATGAACGTTGTCAGTTTTTCATTATCACGAGGATGAGCGGAATGACTTCGATTGTCGTCTCGTTGATAGAACGAATTTCATTAATTACGAAATGCAAATGAAACAATGCGAAACGAACACGCGGTAATATATGATATGACTGACTTGCTCATTGAGTTTTTTGACTTACCGAACAATCCGTGCCTATTCCGAAGTATTAAAGTAGATGTCGTCACTTTTATGTATAATTACCGACGATAATTGTAGAGAAAAACAATTGTAACTTTGCAGCAATAATATATAAGACATAGCATTAAAAGTCTGTATACCAATTTATAGAACATTTATATACTAAAAAATCATCAATTTAATGATATATTATCCAAATATTTATGTTATAATCGCAATTTATATCAATTGTCGATAATGTCAGCGTTCTTCAATTACCTCCGGACTCTCGGATCCTTTTTGTATGGACGAAAATATGTCCAGGGTTGACGGTCTTTAATAGTATCTCGTCGGTGATATAATTTTTATGCTTTTCTTTTATCGACTTTTAACGAACGAATAAACAACAGATGAGTTCAGGGAACACAACGGTCGTGTTCGTTGAATATAGATCACAATGGATTATATCCAAGCAGAACAACAAGTCATAATATCGAAATGATGTAAAAATGATAAAAAATATCATTTACGATTCATTTTAACGTCATTTTGACGTCATTTTGACGTTACATTTTACTGTGACTTGTTTGCTTGGTTATAGCCGAAGGGAACAACCGTAGGCTTTTATATTTTTTCAACATACAAAATTTTTTTTTCACCGATGAAGGATGATGGGTTTCATTTCAAAGCTATTAACTTTTTTATTTTCCAATACATAAAAAAAAACTTTTTTTTTACTGAAAAAGACTGGATGATAGTAGGCTTCACTTTGAAGCTATTTTATTCTGAAAAATATATGATATATCCCTAAATTTTATTTCATTTATTTCACGCTCGCTTATCTAATGTATTACGTTTAGATTGGATTCTAAAAACAAATAGCAATTAGCAGAAGTACATTCATGCACTGAAAACAAATAGTCGATTTTAATAAATATTTAATACAATACTGCCAATTAAATATTTATTAAATATAAAGATATATTTATTTGATACAAGAAACATTAATTTGATTTAACAATCATTCTTTTTACTGAACAAATATTTATTTTACTGTAAGTAAATATTTAGTTGGCTGTATTGGACTAGATATTTATTAAAATTGACTATATTTTTTTCTCAGTGTGTATATATGTACCTTTGTAGTAAGTTACGTCATTTTGTCGCTATTTTGACATAAGCTTGCTACTAGTGTATGTATAATATACTATATTATATTTAAATGAGTTTCAATGAGAAACTAAAAGCAAAGCTGTATATAGTAACCAATTATATTAAAAAAATCACAACATGTTTATTAATAATAAATTGCTTTTTCCATTGATTTTTTCGGTGAGCTGCTTTTTCTATTGCCAATGACTGCGTTCAGTAGAGAAAACTAATCAGTTAGCGCTTACAAGGGAACCTCTCGAGGTGTCAAATTCTGATTTTAATGAAACTTTGTGGACTTGTAGCTTACATAAAGAAATGAATTTATCAGTTGGTGCGGAAAAACGATTTGAAGGGGTGAAATTACCCCTTACGTGTACAGCGGTTTTCAGCTTTTTTCGTTATATCTCGAAAACTATTCGAGATATAAAAAAATGTTTTATACAAAAGTTTTACAACAAAATTAGCTGTATTCGTTCGCGTTTTGGAGAAAGCTGAAAATCGCTTCACACATGAGGCCTGATTTTACCCTTCAAACTCTATGTTGGCAACAATTTTCAGAACTTTTTAAAAAAATTATTATTTTAAAAAATATTTATGATAGAGGTCATTTTATTATAAAGCTATTTCTAAGTAAATGTCTATCCCAAGAAAATGATAAAATGCTATCATTTCCACATCACCTATCAAGTAGATAGCATGGTGCGCTTTTTTTATAGTAGTTTCTCCAGTAGGCTTATTCTACTCTAATTTTTTTACGCACGAATTATTCCAAATGCCGTCATTCCTCCCTTGACTACTTTGGAACATTTAAAAAATGTGTTAAAAAAGATATATTATTATTATTACATAAAAATTATCTTGTATCTTATATCTCATGTACATTATACTTGATATAAAAATGACGCTGTCATGTTAATTAATTATTTATATCAATTAATTAACGGGACAGTAGCGTTATTTTTATATCACATATGATGTACGTGCTTGATTAATATTATTAATTAACGGAACAGTAGCGTCATTTTTATATCACATATGATGTATGTACTTGATTAATATTATTAATTAACGTGATAGGAGCGTCATTTTTATATCAAGTATAATGTTGCTACCAGTGTATGTATAAATATATTATATTTAAATGAGTTTCAGTGAGAAACTAAAAGCAAAGCTATATATAGTAACCAATTATATTAAAAAATTACAACATGTTTATTAATAGTAAATTGCTTTTTCGGTTGATCTTTTCGATGAGCTGCTTTTTCTATTGCCAATGACTGCGTTCAGCAGAGAAAACTAATCAGTTAGCGCTTAGTGATTCTTTAATATGATTCGTTCTTGTCTTTAGTTCTTCACTGAATCTAAATGTAGGAACCAATTATATTAAAGAATTACTAAGCGCTAACTGATTAATTTTTTCTACTGAATGCAGCCATTGACTGCGTTGACAAAAATAGCAGATTCGGAACTGTAAGATTTTTTATTATATAATTGGTTTCCAGGCAGCGCCTGACGTGATTTTCATGTTGATAAATGGTGATTACTGATCTAGACGTTATATTCCCAATAATTGATGTTTAAAAGACGTGATCACGTCTTTTAGACGTCTCTAAATTGACATTATTATGTCAAAATACTCGAGTATTCTGACATTTGGAAACACAATAGTGTCTCGACGCTAACAAAGGAACATCTCGAGGTGACAAATTCTGATTTTAATGAAACTTCGTGAACTTGTAGCTTACATAGAGATGAATTTAGAAAATATCAGTTGCGGCCCAAAAACGGTTTGA